TGTCCCCGCAGTGCGGGACCTGCTCTTCTGGCGGGACGTGAAGAAGAGCGCGGTGGCTTTCGGTGCCAGCCTGGTGCTGCTGCTGTCCCTGGCCACCCTGAGCGCTGTCACCGTGGTGGCGCACGTGGCGCTGGCCCTGCTCTCGGTCACCATCAGCCTCCGCGTCTACAAGGCCGTGGTGCAGGCGCTGCAGAAATCCGACGAGGGCCACCCCTTCCGGTGAGCGGCGATTTTGGGGTCATTTCGGGGGTGGCGGGGTTGGGGACACGTTTGGGGACAGCGGTGTCACTGTCGGGGACACGCCCATGCCCTGTTTGGGGACAGCGGTGTCACCGCAAGGAGGGACCCAGCACCCCTTCCGGTGAGCGGCGATTTTGGGGCCATTTCGGGGGCTGGCAGGGTTGGGGACACACCCGGTCACGTTTGGGGACAGCGGTGACACCGCAGGGGACATGCCCATGCCCCGTTTGGGGACAGCGGTGACACCACAGGGGTGGCACCCAGCCCCCATTTGGGGACAGCAGTGACACCGTGGGGGAGGGACCGGGTCCTGTTTGGGGACAGCGGTGTCACTGTCGGGGACACGCCCATGCCCCGTTTGAGGACAGCAGTGTCACTGCGGGGGAGGGACCAGGCCCTGTTTGGGGACAGCGGCGATTTTGGGGTCCCCCCAGGCCCATTTCGGGGGGTGGCGGGGTTGGGGACACGTTTGGGGACAGCGGTGTCACCACAGGGGTGGCACCCAGCCCCCGTTTGGGGACAGCGGTGTCACCGTGGAGGAGGGACCCAGCACCCCTTCCGGTGAGCGGCGATTTTGGGGCCATTTCGGGGGTGGCGGGGTTGGGGACACGCCCGGTCACATTTGGGGACAGCGGTGTCACCACAAGGAGGGACCCAGCACCCCTTCCGGTGAGCGGCGATTTTGGGGCCATTTCGGGGGGTGGCGGGGTTGGGGACACACCTGGTCACGTTTGGGGACAGCGGTGACACCGCGGGGGACACGCCCATGCCCCGTTTGGGGACAGCAGTGACACCGTGAGGGAGGGACCGGGCCCTGTTTGGGGACAGTGGCAATTTTGGGGTCCCCCCAGGGCCATTTCGGGGGTGGCGGGGTTGGGGACACACCCGGTCACATTTGGGGACAGCAGTGTCACTGCAAGGAGGGACCATGCCCTGTTTGGGGACAGCGGCGCTTTTGGGGTCCCCCCGGGGCCATTTCGGGGGGTGGCGGGGTCGGGGACACACCTGGTCACGTTTGGGGACAGCGGTGACACGCCCAGCCCCCATTTGGGGACAGCAGTGTCACCACGGGGGTGGCACTGGTTTGATCTGCGTGGGGGGAAGGGCGGGGCTTGGGGGATTTTGGGGTGTAGGGAGGGAATTTTGGGGTGTAGGGAGGGGTTTTAGGGCATCCCAACCTCAGCCCTGACCTCGTCCCCTGAGACCTTTCAGGATCAAGTCTGAGAGGGGAATTTTGGGATTTAGACACAGATTTTGGGTTTAGACACAGATTTCGGGATTCAGGGATGATTTGGGGGTTCAGGGCTGGGTTTTGGGGTCCCCCTGACGTGTCCCCGTGTCCCCAGAGCGTACCTGGACGCGGATGTGACGCTGTCCCCCGAGGCGTTCCAGGGTCGAGTCTGAGAGGGGAATTTTGGGGTTTAGACGCAGATTTCAGATTATAGGGATTCAGGGATGATTTTGGGGTTCAGGGCTGGGTTTTGGGGTCCCCCCTGACGTGTCCCCGTGTCCCCAGGGCGTACCTGGACGCAGATGTGACGCTGTCCCCCGAGGCGTTCCAGGGTCGAGTCTGAGAGGGGAATTTTGGGGTTTAGACACAGATTTCAGGATTTAGGGATGATTTGGGGGTTCAGGGTTGGGTTTTGGGGTCCCCCCTGACGTGTCCCCATGTCCCCAGAGCGTACCTGGACGCGGATGTGACGCTGTCCCCTGAGACCTTCCAGGGTCGAGTCTGAGAGGGGAATTTTGGGGTTTAGACACAGATTTTGGGTTGTAGGGATTCAGGGACGATTTGGGGGTTCAGGGCTGGGTTTTGGGGTCCCCCCCGACGTGTCCCCATGTCCCCAGAGCGTACCTGGACGCCGATGTGACGCTGTCCCCTGAGACCTTCCAGGGTCACGGATGAGGGGAATTTTGGGGTTTAGACGCAGATTTTGGGATTAGACACAGATTTCGGGATTCAGGGATGATTTGGGGGTTCAGGGCTGGGTTTTGGGGTCCCCCCCGACGTGTCCCCATGTCCCCAGAGCGTACCTGGACGCCGATGTGACGCTGTCCCCCGAGGCGTTCCAGGGTCGAGTCTGAGAGGGGA